AGTGACTCATTCCAGATGATGTCAAGAAAATTGACGGTAAGAGGGCAACAGGGCCCAAGTACAATTAATGGTATAATTTTGCTTTTACTGTGTGTGTTTTCCAGAAAAAGAAAAAACATTCGTTTTTGTTAATGTGTTATCCCTTGATAGATGGGTTCTTAGAAAGACACCAGATGAAACAGGAAGCAAGTAAGGTGTATTCCTCCGTACTTCTAAATGCACAATTTAAAAAACAGTCTAGTGATTTGCCTTAAGCTATGGGATGACAGTTATTAAATAAGCGTGAGTGACTGGTTTTATCTTTGGAACTCTCATCTGTGTTAAAAACTTAGCAATAATTTCACCGATATTCCAAACCAAAATGATTTTAAAAATAAAGTATTCGGCATATCAAGACCACCCACGTCCTGCAGCCTTGAAGAGTTCCAGCAGAGTGATGGTGACCGAGGGACCACCCGCAGGGCAGGTGAAAAGAGAGCGAGTTTCTGTCCCAGACAAGCCCTGGCCGGCCTTCATCGGCTTTGACTGAAGAGTCTCAGGGAAGATCCGGCCATGCCCTTTACTCTGAGACCTTGCACGGACAGTGAGCGTGCACGTCACCTGTGGGAATTCCTACCTGCCCACCTGACATCTGCTTCTTCTAACACGTGAGCCAATTTCATAGAACGCTTTCTTAGAAGCAAACAATTATCAGGCCTACATTGTCAAGTTGCTTTTCCAGATACCAGGTCTTAATATGGGAATTGACTGGGAAACTTGTAGCTTTGGTAATCAGTGGGGGAGACTGACTTATGAACTTGGATTATTTTCATATTTTATTCTTATGAGTTAAGATTTATTTAGGTAGAATATTGAATATAAACCATAATTATACACGCAGATATTTGGTTGTAAATATTTTCTGAGAACCAAGAACTGGCTCCCACATCTGGCCACTTCCTGTGCCATTCGGGACGTCCCACCCTCTTCTGTTTCTGAGGGCGCACTCTGTTCTACTAAATTAGCTAAATGCATTCTGAATTGAAACTTTAAACAACTTTTCCTCCCTAACAAACAGCGGAATGAAGAACTAAGGCTATTTTTAAATGTCTCTGGGAACTGCAGACGTGTCCACCGTGTTCGAGCAAACTGTCCCGTTACCGACATTCCTCGGTCTGGTGTCCTTGGGGATAACCAAGCTCAGATTTTAAATGTAGCTGATGGGCTTCTCGCTCAGACCCTCGACGCGGAAAAACAGAATTCCCATTTATTTTCATGACCTCTGATGTAAAAGCAAAGATTGCATGTTGTTTGCTGCGGGACGACTTCCCTGAGATTTAACGAGGACCGAGGGCGAGCATGACAGGTGTAATTATCATCGTTTTCTTCTGCACAGCCGGGGTCTGCTTGTTCTGTAATTGTGAGCTTTTCACTCTGCTGCTGCTGGGAAGGTCACTGTCATTGTGCCTTCAGTTATTTCAGAAAGCAGATGCACTATGGATTTCTTCTAGTTCATTCCTACAACCCATATTTGAAAAAAAAGAATTGCGGTATGAAATAAAGGAAAAAAATCTTAAAGTACCATAAAATTACTTTCTATCCAGGCATTGCCTCTGACCCACATCCCTGCCCAGTGAGGCCTGGGAGGTCATTATGCATTTCTGCTGAGAGAAGAGAGACGGGGGGCCGCACAGATGTGCAGGAATTCACCCCGTGCCCCCGTGCCGTGTGGGGGCAGAGCTGCCAGCAGTTCCTCCGGTGATGCAGCTCTGCACCGCGTGTGGCTGCCCATGTTGAGACTGGAGCAACCTGACTTAGCTCAGGCATCTGCGGGCTGGAGTCCCCAACATGGGGGACAGCGGGGCACGGCCACAGTGCTGGACTCCGATCCTTCAGACTTGGAAATAATGGCTTTATTTCTCATCCTGGCCTCGTCACTGGGTTCACCCCAGGGAAAAGGGACCTCAACAGGAAGAAAACAGCGTCCTTTTTCTCCAGGCAGACGCGAGTTGCCGGCACTCCAGCCCTCGTGTAGAGAGCAACTCCAGCACTTACAAGCCTTACTGCCCCAGGAATGATGCTCCTCGCAAAAGCAGAGACCAGCAAACCCACGAGGCTTTGGCTTGATGTTTTTGAATTACGATTGGCAGAAAAATACTAAACACACCCACTTTACTGAGACAGATAACAGAATGGCTCCAGCTGAGAGTGTGTGAGACGCAGACGGGACCAGTCTTGAAGCCTGTCTCTGCGGGAGGAAGTTACTCCTTCCAAAAATGAACGCACAGGCTGAAGTCTGGGCTCGGGGGTGTAGGCAGAGTGTGCTCGACCAGCTCTGCACTTTAGATACACATTTCAATGCCAGGAAAGTTCACTGCATGCTATGCAGCATCAGGAGATAGGGGTGGCCGCGGAACGTTGGAGTTGGGACAACAGGTGCTATCCGTCCAGGGGCCACACCCAACTAAGGAGGCAGCACCAGGAGAACGGTCTTCCATCAGGGGCTGCGGCAGGTGACCGGACGGGCCCGGGTTCTCACCTGAAGCTTCCCACGCAGGAGTAAGAGGGTGCAGGACAGCGCAGGGTGGGTTTCGTGACCCGAGATGACCTGCTTTCTCTCACGCAGCCCGCCACGTTAGCAGAGATCTTGCTAGAACAGCCCTGCCTGCCAGTCACTACACTGGATTGAATGCAAATTTGGAATCAAGGTGAGATGCCCTGGTACTTCCCTGAAGGCTGAAATTGAGAGACACTGCTTAAAAGGAGAACACTACACCACCACCACATCCCCCACAAATCCAATTAAATCTCCACCTCTCTCCGTCGTTGGTTTAAAATGCCACTCACTGTGGTCTCTAAAGAAGGTCTTGTCTTTGGACAGTTACATTCACTGGCTTCTGACTGACAATCACTCTAACCTGACTTCGGATGGCAAGTCTGGCTGCACCGAAACCTGACATTTGAGCCCCTTGACCACTTTCCTTCTTTGTTCACCCTTGGTTGTCTGTGACTGTACCCTTTTTGGGCCTCTGCTTCCCCCAAGGTTCAAGACAGGAAGAGTATCCAGGTGGCGCCCATAATTAAAGCGGCGCTGTTGGGAGAGCCGCATGGGTTGGAGGAACCCTCCAGAAATCAGGGACCCCTGCAGTGACAGGGGTCTCTCTTGGCGTGGTGTGTGAGAAGTGCCGCACCACCATCTGCAGAAATGGAAGACGCTGCCCACCTCCACCACCCTCTAGCATGCTGCTCCGGAGCTGCTGCACGTGCTCTCGTTCTTAAAAGGAAGGACCCCCCGCTGCAAAATCTAAAGGCAACGAACCTACAATTTTGAACCTGCCTCAGTGTCATCAGTTGTTTTAAAAACAGGCAGGTTTGGGTCTGGTTTTTCCATCTCCCCTGAATAAATAGGGAATAGGAAGCTCTAGGACAGAGGTGCCACAGACTACGGATTTTAAAAGTCATGGGCTCTAGGCAATAAATTGTCAAGTCACTGTTGCTGGATGTCCTGTAAGTCACTGGACCTGTTGCCCAGTACGAGCACCGAGTCCACTCTGCTCATGGACAGCCCTGCCTGGCCAGAGCCCAGGCGCACCCAGAGCCAGCCCAGTACACCTGCTGAGACCAGTCACCTGGTTGGGACCAGTTGGTTGGGACCAGTCACCTGGTTATGATCAGTAACCTGGTTGGGACTAGTCACCTGGTTGAGATAAGTCACCTATTGAGACCAGTCCCCTGGTTAGAACTAGTCACCTGGTTGAGACCAGTTACCTACTGAGAACAACCACCTGGTTGAGACTACTCACCTGTTGACACCAGTCACCTGGTTAGGACTAGTCACCCGTTGATACTAGTCACCAGCTCATGACCCAGAGCAGGGCAGAGACTTGCTCTCCACTGAAAACCTCCTCATGTGAGTTGGCCACATTCATGCTACCTGAGAAAAGGCCCAGAGCCAACCCTCGCTGCAGGTGATGTACTTACGATGGGGCTGGCGTTGATGTAGTCCGAGTTGCTGTGGCTGTTTTCTGATTTCAGCAGGATCCTGGAGTGGTCATCTGCAAGTGACCCCAAGAACACGGTGTTAGATTCCCGCACCCCTCCGTCTGCTGGGAGAACAGGCCACACTGCTCGCACAGAGCATGCTACACGCCTGCTCAAGCTCAAAGGTCATTCCCATGTTCTCTGGGGACACTGTGCCAACCCTTCTGAATGTCCTTTTTAATGGAGTTGTTCCTTTCTCTCCTCCCTTCCTTCAGCATAAGAAACATAAAAATAGGATGTGTGAGGAACTGGCACCAAGTTCTCACTGGGTAGAATTTAGATATTCTGGTGTTTTTCTTATGTAAAGTCCAAAAACCAAGGTTAGGTGCTCTTCTGCAAAATTTCATACAGTGTTTGCCTTTAACTAACAGACATATTTGGCAACATACTAAATAAATATAAAATGAATATTAAGCAATAGGCCACCATTCAAAAAACAGAATTTTGTAGTCAATAAATGGTTAAATCCTCAAGATTTCTGGAATTTAGTTTTAAAAGGAGAGTAAGAGACAAAGTGCAGATAAAGAAGGACTGGGGAGAAATGTACAAATGGAGACCCACTGACAGAAACACGTGCCTGGCAACACAGGCAGTGTAATTTGACTAACGTTAAAACCAGACACAGCACGGGATCGAAGGCAGCTGTGATCTGTCAAGGCGGACGGTGCTTGATGCACGAATTCTTAATTTTGATCCTGGGATACTGCCCCCTGCTTACTGTGACATCCCTCTCTGCCTTGT